AAATTATTGAAACCAATAATTTTGTAGATATTTACGTAAATATCTTAGAAAATAGAGGTCGTATAAAAAATTTTTTCAAGCAAAAGTTGTTTTCTTTTTTACGTAGAATAAAATCCCGTAATAAAAAATATGTATTTCTATTTAAAAAAGCAAAGTTGACCTTGTCCTGACCTTGGCGACGTCATCTTGGGTCAAATAACTACTGTCATTAAATGCGACTTTTTAAGCCTTACAACTTTTATTGGAAACATTTTTCTCTAAAATGCTCCCCCGCCGAGTTTTCTTGCCGTTGCCGAACTTATGGGACACACTGTATATACACACACATACACGGGGAATTTTTTAAATTATATAAGTCAATTATTCTTTCTAGATGTTCCCCGAAGACGGGATTAATGTCATATCAGTCGTTCTGCACTCGCATCTGGCCGGGCGGCGTCTCAGTTTGAAGCATATTCGTCAAGGGAGAGAACTGCCAAGGATAGTCCAGGATAATCATTTCGATTTCGACTATCAGCAGTCTCACACTCTGGAGAAGGAAGTGAAAGTATTGCCTGGCGACGAGCTCGTCGCAGAATGCGTCTACGGCACTTTGGATAGGAAGACGCCGACCTTAGGTGGTTACGCGGCCTCACAGGAGATGTGCCTGGCGTTTGTTGTGCATTATCCCAAGACACCTCTAGCCGGCTGTTACAGTATGACACCTGTTAAGGATCTTTTCAAGACTCTCGGTGTGGTCAGTTTCAAAGGAATGTCGATGGACGAGTTGGAGAAACTCTTCCTAACGTTGGGGTGAGTTATCTTACAAGATATAATATCCTTAAGATAATTCAATAACATCAACTAAACTGCTTAGATCTACTTTCATTAATTTTATGAAAAATGTGAAAAAAAAATTATATCTGAATTTCTCTCGAAAGTTTATTTTTACACAATATTACGATAGTTACAGTCATTATGAAATATATGAATTCCTATTTTCTTTATATTGTTTAATATTAGATTGATATATAAGAAACTTAGAAGATATTTATAATATACATATACAGAATATAATATTGTTTTATTCAAAATATGTGTATGAAGTAAATTTTATTGTTTAGTTGAAACTATCTAGTGCAATACATTTTTTATTAACAATTTCAGAACGGATTCCTTGTCGACTAGCCATCAAATCTCCGCGGAGAGTACCGCGAGGGTTGTAGGCAGGAATAACGAAACCGTCATTAGAGAAACTATGTCCGCATTAAAAGCGATGAGGGATTACTCAGAGAAGCGCGAGACCGACAACGTCTTCACGCAACTTGTCATTGAGGAGCCACCGGAGTTCCAAAGTAATTATAAAATAATTAATTACAATCAAACAATAAGAATATTTATGAACAAATTCAAAATATTTTTTTACGCATCAACGCTTATATCTTGAATGTTTTAATTTGGTGTTCAGAATTATTTGCACTTTCTGAGAATCAACTTTCAAGATCTACGTTTAGTTTCTTCCCCTTGCCTCTTCCGCTCATCCGTCGAGTCTCGCGGCTAATTGTGGCATAACTTCAGGATCGTCAATTTCATAAGACGCGTGCGGGATTCTTCTTAATTTCTGAAAAATTCTCATTGAAAATTTCAAAATTGAAATTAATGTTCCATTATTGTGATTATAATAATACAAATATGTCGGTAACGTAGATAGAAACATAATATTATATGGAAATAACATACATAATAAGAACTTTTCAGAAATTAGGAAGCACCGTGCAGGTTTTATGAAGTTGACGATCCTGAAGCTAAACGCCACGATATTAAGTCGCGAGTCGCTCGACCGATGAGCGAAAGAAACACGAAAAAGAAAGTAGATGTAACTTCAAGGATCGGCTCGAAAATTCAAATAATTACAAACACTGTTCTAACTAACAATTCCTTCAATTTCCAGATCGAACTATGGCGCAACACATTCTGGCTTTGGCATGGACGGACGAACTGTTGGCGAGATCGATAGAAACAAATCTTTATCAAGGCAGACATATGACGTTTTGCAGAAAAAGGGACGACAAATTAGCGCTGGTAAGATCTCTCACGATTAATTAATTCACTTATTCCAAGTTGGAATTAAAATCGCTATCGCACTGAGAGAAAAAATAGTTGGAATAACTATAATCTCACTATATTTTATATTTGCCAAATATTCCAATTGTATTGACTATATAAAACAGTTAATTTCTCTTATCACTCAATATTTGCTACCTTACTATATTTTTTATTTCAAATAATTATAATTCTTGGTAAAAATTTTATACGGGTCAGTTATACTATGATTATATTGTAAATATTACAAATATTACGGTAACATTTACTATAAAAATGATATTCCTAACTATAATCTTTTTACTATGCCATTATAGTTCCAAATATCATGCATTTTTCTCTCAGTACGTTTGAAAGAAAAAAAACAAATATTGAACAATTAAATATCAAAGTTATTGAATATTTATGATATTAGATATTGAATTTTTATGCAACTTTCATTTTAATTTGTTATTGATCCTATTGTATTTACTGTTATTTGTATCGTTAATTTGTATTAATCTTCTCCATTGATCCTTCCACAGCCAGCAGACATTCAGACCTTCCCCAAATTCATAGCGCTACCGGAAGTAAACGACACGACCTGCGAGATCTCCGGCTCTGCTGGAGCTTCTCACATTATCGTGATGCACCTGGTCACTATTGTCAGTGTATTATCGGTCTTCATGTTCTAAGAAGGCCCATGCGAATAGTCAGAGACAGTCGGTGAATGAGCGTTGCATGATTAATGCGATTCGTCGCTGTCGATTACACGAATACGATGGAACAGTTCTCTACGTCACATGTGTCCCCTGTATATTTTCGTACCTTGTGAAACTACCCCTGATTAATTTATTAACGAGCAACCCGGTAAACGGGTAATTTCCTCGAACTAACTCCGATCGTATGAAACGGATCCGGAGGGTTCTTCTAGTATTAGGTATTAGCGGGACAGCTTTCCCGCGCAAGGAGGCGACAGTTTTTCGTAAAAAAATTTTCGTCACGAATTCTCTTTAAGCATATATATATATATATAAAAGTATAAAAATATATAATATAATATAATATAATATAATATAATGTAAATACATTGATTTAATTTTAACGATGCGTATATATTTATAAGATGTACACAATACACCCTTCCGTTAGCATTTTGTACTGCGTGTTTTGTATAAACAATAAATGTCTGTAAACAGTGTAATCAGCCTTGACACTTTTTCGCTTTATCGTCTTTATCGAACTTTACATTAAAATCAATCAACTTTTTTATATGGTGTGTATTTTCTAATTTCATAAACTTGTTTATATATTTCTTTTCAAGGTAGAATAATCAATTTGCGACTAAATATACTTTCAGTATAACACACGATTATATGCAATAAGTTTTAATTGATTGACAAATTCTGATTTTAAATGACATAATAAATTTAAGAAGGCAGAAAGAAAGAGAGATTAAAGAAAAAGATATTACAGTAAATAAAAATGGAGTTACGTTCAATGCTAACGATTATATTACTGATAGTCCCCGTTATCTTTAAATGTTTGTTTTTATTATTTAAATTTGGAATTATAAATGCGTGAGATTATTTACGGATTGACCGATACTTCTTCCAATCGGGTTTATTTCGAGACAAATCGCACTCGACCGTGCTATTGAGCCACGGTCCAGATTCTCCGGAATTGAACTCTAACGCGATTTTAAAAAGCACCACCCACGTAACACACGTGCGACCGCCGCATGTCGATAGTCCGGTTCGCAATTTTCCTGTTGGTTAACCCGAACGAGCAGCAATTTTCCAATCTTTCCGCTCGCAACACTGCTCGCCCGCGCTTTGTTCACAGCGATCCTGTCGCGCTGGCGTATGGGGCACCATGTGGTCGTCGCTGATAAGCGGTGAATTGCGTTTCCATCGAATTACCACGCGAATCCCGTGGGTATAAAAGCCAGTCCCTCGGGACGTTCGGCGTCAGCAGTTCTCTGGAGCACCGAGGAAGAGCATCTTCTTGTGAAAACCCGCAAAGCTGTTCGAAGAGTACTCAAGAACTTGTTCACGGCGATCTCGAGTTTCTCAGGTATGACTTTTCTCATCGATACGTAACTTCTCGAAGGTGAAATCTCAACGCGAACTGTCTCGCTCCCAGTTTCGCGGTAACATTTCCTCTTCAACGTCTTAGAAACGTGAAATGCTTCAATTTTTTTTCGTGAAATTTGTTTCTACTTACTTAATTAACATTAACCGAGGTAATATTTTAAGATAGGATGCGACGTACACGTCACATGGTGTTGCCTGTGCGATCCTGGCAGTACATTGGACTTCTGATAGTATCGTTGGCGTGTCTGACGTTGGGACTGGTATCTAGGGACAGGGAGGGACATGCCGGCAGTCTGGCAGGGCCTGAACTCGAGCATCGGGCTCCTCATGAGTATGAAAGAAAAATTATTCCTTTTTCTCTAAGCTTAATTATAGATACTTAGTCCCAAGTAAAATAGTATACATTTTATAATATAATATCTTACGTTACGTGACATTTTTTAAGAAATCTGAAATTCTTTAAGTTATTTTTTATTATATAATAAATCATACTTGTTATAACAAAGTATTCTTCTCCGAAATCGTTTAAATTTTAGGAAAATCACAAAAGGATTGTCTATTTTCAGGATGGATGCCTGTCCGAATTTGAATCCTTTCACCGAAATGCCTTCATATTTGTTCACAAAGTTGGAAGAGACTGCAAAATTGGTTAATGATTATGAAACGAGGGTATCCGCATCCAGAATATCAGCGACAACTCCAAGATCTGTACGCTCTCGATCACTGAATCTCGATCGTTCCACCAGACTCGCCTCGCAAGAAGCTCGAGGACGATCTTCCACAAACCGAGATTTGAGAGTAATCGAGAGACTTTCAGGATGGAGGAGCCGCTCTTCTGACAGCGAACCCGTCAACAAACTTCGAGAATCCCGACTCAGGACGACCGCGCAATCTCGCGGTGTCAGGAATTCGATTGAACCAACATCTCGAAAGTCCCATTTGCGCGATCTCCCCAGCCGAGCGACCGATCGTCGTTCTTTCGACCAGAGATCATTCAATTTCGACCGTCGTCTTGCCGATCGCAGTGCGAATTATCGATCTGAGGAGCGCCGAACGCGTTCCGCAGAACGACGCGAAATTAATGAAGTCGCCCGCCGATTAAATCATGTCGAACGATCGCTGGACCGGCGAGACAGCAGTCATCGCGATCGCCGAGCACTTTCGATCGAGCGTCGAATTCCGGACGAAATCACCCGCCATGAATCGCGCGAGACTTTAATTAATCGCCGAGAGTTTCGCGATTCGGCACATCGCGTTGATCAACGATCCGAGATGCGCGAACGTAAATCCCGATCTGCCGAACGCCGTGAAGATCGCAGAAGTCTCTTGGCTCGCTCAGTGAAAATTGTAGGAAAAAATACTGATCATAACAATAATTTGGACCGTCGAAACCGAGAACGATCTTTGGAGAATCGTCGTGCTCTTCTAGATCGCGCTGCAAACCAAGAACGTAGATCGCGATCTTTAGTTGCTACCAGAGATTCTCGTAAAGACCTCGCTAGATCCGACGACCGTCGATCTCTGTCTCGATTGATGGAACGTGCAAATGATCTTGCTCGAGAAACGTTCAATAGGCGAGTAAAATCGGTAGAGTCCAACGATGAGAGATCCAGGGAGCGTAGATTGTCCTTTGAGCGTAGATCCTTGACACGTCATGAGATGGATCTCGTGGAGCGCCGAAAAATAGAAAATCGGTTTCCCGATCGGAGATCTCTCGATCGAGTTCCGTCGCGAACTTCGCCCGAAGACTTACATCGTGGTAGACTCAATCGTTCGCAGAGGATCGCGAATGCGCGCGATTCTCGCCAAAACGTAGCGAGTAGGAAGAATTCTGAAGTCGATTTCGTGCGGGAAGAACGATCGCGTTATAATTTTAGGGAGATCACGAGTCGAGAACAAAGGGAGAGGCTCGTTCGATCCTCTCGTTCACTCGATCCTCATTCGGTGGATCGACGAGAACTTTCGAGGACCAGAGACTCGACAAGTCCTGACCGCGAGACGCGCGATTCTTCGGAACGACGAAGTCTGGTCATGGAGCGTCGAGAAAGGGCCGTCTCTCAGAGATCTCGAAGCTTGGAAAGAGGCTTTGAACGACGAGTACCTGAGAGAGTACCGGAAAGGCGAGTATCTCGCAAAAGAATCCTGAAAAAATCTCATGAACGTGTTGCAGTACGACGAATTGTTGCGGATTCAGCACAACCTGATTCACGAAGATCGTCTGAACGACGAATTGACGAAAACTCGAGATCGCGTGAAGAATCCAGAATAGCAGATCGTCGCCTCGAACGAAGTCTGGAGTTGCGAGCTTCTCGTGGAAGGACTCTGGAGAAACGATCTGCTCTTGACTCGCGGCGGTCGTCCGAGCGAAGAATCGACGAGAGCTCAGGACTACGCGAAGGATCCAGGATGGCAGATCGTCGTCTGGAACGAAGTCTGGAGTTGCGAGCTTCTCGTGGAAGGACTCTGGAGAAACGATCTGCTCTTGACTCGCGGTGGTCATCCGAGCGAAGAATCGACGAGAGCTCAGGACTACGCGAAGGATTCAAGATGGCAGGTCGTCGTCTGGAACGAAGTCTGGAGTTGCGAGCTTCTCGTGGAAGGACTCTGGAGAAACGATCTGCTCTTGACTCGCGGCGGTCGTCCGAGCGAAGAATCGA